TCTGTGTAGGATACCACTGTGGAAATATCCCGTTAAAATGTAGTTAATGCAATTAAGAGTGCAAGCACATGCGCATGTGCGCACACATACACACACACACACACACACACACACATTTCCAGACTAGCACGCTATTCCCCATTAGGATGTTGCATTTACATGAGATTTATTGTTTGCCTAATAAATCATCAATTTCAATATACACATAACTTCACAACACTAAGAAATCATGAGAAAATAAATATACAGTACAATTCGCCTTTTATTTCCAGATTTTCTTTCTGTCAGAGTTCAATTTTACACATCAATCTTTGTTCACTAAAGTTGCATCAGTTTTGTGTTCAAATATCTTGTCCCATATAATAGGCCACAATTGCTACAACTCATGTCACTTTTACTGAAATACTTTCCTCCCTTAACCCTTTTGCTATCCTACAATAATGCAATTTTAAGCTATAAACACATAAAAAAACAAAAATGCACTTTCATAGTCCAGAGAATGAAGACAAATGACACAGCACAATGAGATATTTATTTCCTGATGTGGACTAAAGTAAAATGTTGCACTGTGCAGTAATGGATGCCTATTCCACTTCAGTCAAATATTGCAGCAATAAGATTAAGGAAGAGACCACTACACTGCATGCATGTGTGCATATGTGTGTGTACCAATTTCAACTTTTGAGTCAGCTGACCAAACCTATGTTTCATTGGAGACCACACAAATGTCCTACTTTATAATTCCCTAGAGTCAATAATAACTTGGTGGATGCACAAACTTGTGAGCTGTGATTTATAGTGTTACCATGTAATTCAATTAAAATTATACATGGCAACAGATCTTCATAAAATGTGCAACTTTTGCTAAGTTACTTTTTCTGTAAAATGTAACGTAACAACATGGCGGATATGAGAAAAATTTTGTTAGCCTTCAGTTTGGTAGCAATAACTAACAAACCACTGGAAAAAGGTATGTGAAGAGATAGGCCAAACACATAGTATCTACATATTACACATGAAATCATATTTGTAAGTCAATAATTATATATGTGGTAACAGATGAAGCTTTGAAACCCTATCTGGAAAATTTAATGCCGACAGAATTTCCAATTACACAAAAAGTTTACAAAAATAAAATAAAACAATAACAATACTAATAGATCTGTAGGACTAAAAATCTATAAAACAGGGAAGCACACTTTATGAGTTACATTCAGAACTCTTCATTAATTCATGGTATACTTTACAATATGAAGAACATATTAAACTTGCTGCTGAATTTAATATTCACTTACAAGTTACAAGATTAACCACAAAATATTCTGTCCTACCCAACCTATGTAACATACTACTAAATTTGCGTCTTAAAGTCAGAAGCCTTACTATAAACCACTCCACATTACCTAACATGACCGGTCACTGTATTACAAAGAAATATAACATTCATCAATCACAGCTATCTGGCTAACTACCCTGTTCTTCCACAAAGCACAAGCATCATTAAATATATACATATTGTGACGTGTTGCGCTATGCAGGACACCCCTCCCCTGCCAGCGGTGATGTAACACTATCGGAGCACTGTTGTTACTAGGGTAGCANGTGACGTGGCCAAGGGATGCTGTGGTTGCTATGCAGCCGTAAACAACTCCTGACAGCGTTACCAGTAACACCGGTAAACACGGCGCCAGACAACAGTGGTGCCAATTATGTGGCTGTTTTCTGTGTTGTCCGGAACGAAGCTAAATAAGGAGCAGCGAAGACTATTCACAGTTAGTTCTCACGGCAGCAGTATTCAAGTCAGTTACGAGTTACGGACACGTGTGCGAGAATCAGTGATAGTTCGTGATAACCGAGTAATAATTGGGAGTGTGTGATACAGTTGCACTTGTATAACTCCCGCGTTATAAAAACGTGTAGACTACTGATAATAGAGTGAACTGAATATTGAATAGGGTTTCTAAATTGTGAAAACCCGTAACAGTGTTATAACTGATTATAGCCTATACTTGTAGGTTGTTAAATAAACCAATTAACGATCCAAATGGCGTCTTCAGTAACCTAAACACATTACACTGGTTTGCAAATCTCTTGCTACTGGTTTCAATACTGCCAATCTGGAGACTTTACAACATTCTGTAGCAGCCACCCACACTGAATCTATGCAACTTCCTGATCTCCCAAGCTGTACAGGTTCTACCAAAGAATCTTTTCTAGTCTCAAGTATTATGGCAAATGCACAAAAGCCTTTCAGACAAAAAGCTGTTGCCACAGGTCTATAGAAAACAGGTCACTGTAAGAGTGTTAAAACAACATTATTGAATGTTTCTATATGTAATAATATAAATG